AAGCAGTTTTACCAGTTTTACAGCAAAGGGTGCATCTGGGTGTGTTTAATATATATTTGAAGTACTGAGGCTTTTGAAGGAAATGCTGTTACATTACAGTCACTTTCTTTGTAACCCTTCAGGCATGGCCCTGTGTGGAAGAGTATAGATTTTCCTTTTCATTTTTCCAGTCAGTGGAAAACATTGTAGCAATTCTAAGTATGCCCATAAGTGTCCCACAGCCTATTCAGGAAATGCTCCTCTGCAGAACTTTCCATTGGAAACCATGTGCTATACAATGATTTAGTCTCAGGACTTGTGGAAGTGTAAATGTTCAGGGAAACAAGCAATGGCTTTGTTTTTACATTCCGGGTAAAACATGACCCACAAAAATTCCCCTTGGCAAGTTATTTACATAGGTGTCATGCTTTTTTTTTTTTTTATGTGGATGATGAGCTTTACTCTCAGGTTATTTCTGTGCACTGGCACAGCTTCACCAGAGCTGCAGCTCTCATTGCTCTACACCATACCTATGGCTTGACTCAAACCTGATAAAGTTACACATTCTATCTATCCTCCAAATTACAGTCAGCATCAGAAGACCTGCTTAAGCCCTTTTTGCTATGTTTCTGAGTCATAGATCTGGTGGATTATGACTGAGTATGGATTGCAGTAAGCCAAATAAAAATGGGTCTTATAAAGCTTCTCCCATATAAAGTCTCCTTGGCAAGGGATGGTTAAGATTTTCCTGAAACTGATTGAAAATATCTTTGGTACTAAATCTATATAAATACGGGTGTTTGTGTAAGTTTAAAAAGTAAAAACAAAAACAACCAAAAAACCCCACCAAAAACAAACAAACAAAAAACCCTAACAAACCAACCCAACTCTCCGCCTCCCAAAAAAACAACCCCTCCAAAAATAACCCATCAACCTCCCCCCCCCAAAATAAAACAGAAGGGTAGGGAAGAAAAGTTCACTCTGAAGAGGGGTGTGAATCCTCTCCCATTTTTTCACAGCCACTGGGGTAGCCCTACTATTTACCCGCAGTTTCAGGTGAATCTTAATTTTGAGAGTGAGTTTCGTTGCCAAAAGAGTTTGTAGGGTAATATGCAAACCAACCACCATGAGTCTTTGTAGACTAGTATCATGAGATTCTGACATCTCTGTATTCAGTGAGTGAGCGTTTTCCTACACTCATGTGACTCGTGCAGCATTTTCTTTGCTCTGCAAGCTGGGTATGTAGAATTCCTATGCCATGTCTCCAGCAGAGCTGGTGCTGCCAGAACTGCAAGAACTGCCAGAACTGCTGTAAATAAAATAAGTGTTTTCCTACAAAACACATACAAAATTTTTATAACTGGTTTGTATCAGATTGTTAAACTGGATTTGCTGTGGAGAAACTTTTCTGCCTTTATTAAGCTTACGCTGATGATCTGCTCAGTCTGTTCTCCTTAGAAGGGAAGTAAATAGGACAGTTTGTAAATCTTGTCAATTGTGAAGTTTGCATAAGTTTGAAAATGAGCATTTAGGTTATACATTCAAAGGGTAAGGGAGGCACAGAAATGATTCAGTGTACAGGATTGTGGCTCATGTCTAAAGTTGCTCGGAATGACACTAATAAGAATTTATTTACTTGTTTTAAGACTGCTTTTATATAAGCCTATTTATACATTCCTAATACATTAGCAACTGGCTACAAACACAAGTGTTTGAACAGAGATACTTGTTACCAGCCACTGGAATACCATTGTCTGATACTAACACTGCATTGCAGATAAGGGCCCTCTCAGAAGTAGTTTCAGCAGCAGAGGCAGATAGGTAAGTGCCCTGTCAGAGTTATGGAGACGGCAGCGTCTTTCACGGAGGGATCAGAGGATGAGAGAACATGGCAGCACTTCTTGGGATTGCCTGAGGAAAAAATGGCACCAAGCACCCTGAGGAAAAGGGGCACACATGGGAATGGTGACTTACCCATTTTACACCCTAAAGCTCTAGAAACACCCAAAAAAAGCACTGGAAGGTGTCTTTGTTTACTTCTGAACGTCAAGCTTGCTGTGGGTTTTGCACATAACTTCAAGGAAAATACTGTTTGCTATTCTGTATTACTTGAGAATGCGTGAAATGTCAATACTCAATGTCAGATTCTATGATGACACTTTTTAGTTCAGTGGTGGGTGTAAAAAAGTTTCCTAAAGTATGGAATGTGATTGTAAGCTGGAAAATGCAGGGAGTAAGACCCTGGTTGTATTGGATAGATTGGCAACGTGTGGCTGCCACCTTATGCAGTACTTCAGTCTTGGCTTGCAGCAGCCGTTCATTACACTGGCTCTTGGCACGTCCATTGCAGGTCCAGCAGTAGTGACCAATTGCTCAGCAGTTTTGCAGAATTGCTTGAATGATCAGACCAAACAGTTTCACTGGTGACCCAAGCCTGAGTTTGTGCCCCCATGAGGAGGCAGAGCTTGTGTGTTAACTCCCAGCACTGCTTGCCATTGCCTTTGCCAACAGCCTGCTCTGTGAACAGCTGCTGGAGTACAAAAGGCCAAAGGGAGGTGTCTCAGATTTGCCCTAGTCCTGTCACACTCCAAGTCACTGGAACACATCCAAGTGCATGGTAAACTACAGGCGGTCTCTGCAGAACAGCCTGTACAGTTGACTTTAAGTGAAATGTGAATCATCTCAGTCCTAAATTATTTTAATCCAATCAGTCATCTGTGTTGAAGGGTGTAAAGAGACAGCAAAACCAAGAGAATGGCTGCCAAGTGGAGGATACAGGACACAAATAAATCTGCTAGGATGAGATGAAATATGAACTAATAATGATTTATTCCAAATGCCGCAGGGGTTACAGTCTGGAAACACTTGTAGAGATATTCAGAGGAGATGAATTTTGTAGGCTTTCCCTTGTATGATTTTTACAGACACAGCTGAGGTGAAGGAAAGCAAAGCAGTTAGCTACACAGAGAGTACACATAAGGATTTTGAAGTGCTCACAAACAAATTCTCCCTAATTAATATATGCTTTGCAAGTCTCTTGTAAGTAGATGAGCATGAACAGCTGTAGTTCTTTTTATAGATACAAACTAATCTCTAATACATGTTGGAGTTGAACGATACAGAGAACAACATGCTGCGGTTTCATAAAGCTCTTCTAGCCATGGAAGTATTCTTTTTATACCCTCTAAAAGTAGAAGGGAATGCAGAAGAGTGTAGAGTGCAGTCTTGAAGAATACTGCTTGGAACAAAATCATGACTGGAGCAAAAGATCTAGCTATTAGTGACACATATCATACACTCCTTGTTAACACATCAATCAGCATGTGTGAGTTAGACCCATTTTCTTGACAGGTTCAGTCTTTTCTGACCCGTATGAAACGAAACGTTTTTCCCATCTTTTAGTAGTGTCAATAGCCTTCATGACAAAGAAAGAATTACATGTTTCACACCATTAAATATTTATAAAAGCCTCAGCAGTAAGTCATAATAGAACTCCTTAGACTTGAGGAATATCTTTGAACACACTTCCTGTTTGAAGATGTTTTCTCTCTTTTTTCTCCTTATTGCTAGCTGTATATATTATCAGTTCAATAATGTCCTCTGCTAGGAGACAGTATCCTGTTGTAGTAGGTGAAGGGAGGGACTGTAACAGCTCCTTTCCATGTCTGATGCCTGTGATTTCATTTACATAAAAACACTGTGGATTTTGAACAGTGTGTTTCTTTTGGCAGTTTATTATCAGCCTGAATGCCTCACTTTTTTCATGATTGAACATTTGTCTGCTGCAGAAGTCATTATCACCTTCATTTTTAGTTTTAATAGCCTTCCTTTTAACAAACCTCAGTTTGACCTAAGTTTCCAGCAGTTTGCTTCAAAACAATGCCCCAGACCTTCTGGAACCCAGTGATTTTTCCCCTCAAAATAATAAGCTCATTACATTTTTATTGATTTTATGGCTTTTTCTGATGTGACATAGGGAAGAATTGATTTATGTAGGACAAAATGCCTTGCTGGATTCCCTCCATTATTGCAACCAAAGGGAGAACTGCTGGAGGGCCTGTGAAGAAGGACTGTTTCAATAGCACTTTGTGCCCTTTCTTTTGGGCTCAGGCCCACTTTGGAATGACTGGTATGAATTGCAAATTAATTTTGTTCATTTCTTCTTATACACTAGAAAAGACCCCAGAGAAAAGCTGAAAGTCACTATTGATAGAACTCCTTCCCATTCCTTTCAGGGGAAAGAAGTACCATCTCATGGGTTTAGTCACTGTGGAAGAAAACCCTCAGCTATACAAATGCTGCTGTTTAGAGAAGGAGAAAATGAAAATACCAAAGTGAGGATGATGTGGATTCCATACATCTCTAGAACAACTATTTTTTGGGGAACTAAACTTTCTCCTCCCAATATTTACTTTAGAAAAGCACATCAAAGGGTAAACAACTTTGAAGTATCAGGAAGCACATGTATTGACTTACCCATAAAGCATTTCAGTACAAACATTGATTTGTATTCTGCATTCTTCTCATTAAACCTGCTAAAGGAAAGTCAGAAGGACCTTCATGATAATCTCCTATAGCTCTGGGGAAGTTAGCTGAGAATGGGTTAAAATCATCTCTTAAGCCACTGTTGGAAAAGAAGCTAAGTATGGAAAAGACCATAGCCTTTTCCTCAAGTGTTACTCCTTTCTCTTTCCCTGTCACAGAAATTAAAATAAAGATATGAGAGTTCAAATTACTGCTGAAGTGCATTGCCTTTCATTGGATTGTAGAAGAAAATGGGGGGAAATGTGTCATTAATGAGAGAAGGGAGCACTAACTGTGTAATTAAGTTTACATTTGGTTGAGAAACTTCACAATAATGAAGAAACCATCTTCAGGAAGTAATGTACATTTCCCTCAAATTTCTCAGCTTTAGCTTTGTGTTAGATTTGAAGTTAATACACTAGGTGAACAAAGCTAGTTTTGAATATCTTACTTCCCTTTCCTCTCAGGTTAATACTAGAAGGCTTCTAGGTAAGGTCTGTACAGTGTTGGGAATGTACGTGAGCAGAGTAAAATCCAAATGAAACAATTTTTTTCATGAGCTGCATAAAGAAGAAATATTAAAATTACAGTGTGACTCAGGTCAAGATGCAATCCCCTGGAGAGAGTTCTGATGCTGAAAAGATCTCTCCTCATGTTTTTATCTTTGCTTGTCTTGTGCTGTGTCTTTGTAGGAGCATTTCAGACCAGTCTAGGAAGGTACTCTGGATTCAGCCAGTCCACAGCTGTTCCAGAGCTGTTGGCTAAGATGATATTCTGGTTTGCACCATTCAGCTGCTGGACTTCTTGTTCTGCTTGTGACTCCTGGATTTAGGGTACAGGAAACCAGAGTTGTATGTAGAAGGCAGCTCTACTCCTTGGATACTGCTGTATGTTACTGTAATACTGGGTATCTGGGCTGAAGATGATCCCTGGTGAGACTCTCCTTTTCTTTGTACAATACTGTTCAGGCTCTCACTTTTCTAAAGGATGCAAAGATTTACAAGAAATGGACAACACAAACATCTACAAGGAGATTCCATTGAATCATCTATAAAAATGACATATATTTAGTACTTCGCTACTCCCCACGGCTGACTTAAAAGTAAACTTAAATGATGGAGGGAAAAGTAGATCTGAACATTTTTTTAATATTTCATTGATAACTTATGAAAAATACCCTCATCTGTTAAACAAGCTAATGTACTAAAGCATTAAAGAGCTTGCATTTGCTACTTATGTGCTGGACTACTTTGAAGGAAGACCAAGCTAATGACAGCACATTCAACTATGAACAGAAATACTGTGAATATGCTCAGACAGCCTATGAATTCTATTGGGTAAAGAGTTTCTCCATAAAGAGGGACTGCTTGGGGTCATTGGGCAAGAGGTAATGTAAAACACAGTGTTAATAGCATGGATAATTTGAAGTGGGCAGCAAACTACATTACGAGGTAAAAATTGAGGGAAAGATTAACTAGCATTTTTTTTGATAATATGAGATGTTAGCTGTCACTTGCACAGAACCAAAAAAATCAGTTAGGATAAGGGTCACAATAGCTCATAAGCATCACTGCTAACAATAGACAATTTAGGGTGATTGTATTACACTGGGGTTAGTGCTGTAAAGATAAAAGTGCCTTGTTTTCATCTGTCAACTCTTTGCTTTTACTTCCATGTCTGCTGAGAATTAAGGCAAGTTGACTGAGTTTTGAGAGATGTCAGATATTTTTACCCATATGCTGTAGCTGTGTTAGATGAAGAAGAAACAGACACTAATACAACATGCATCTTACTGAATAGGTGGCATGACATGTTTCAAAAACTGACCTTGATTTCCTCCAAGCTGCATGTTTTAGATGTTTGCTGCAACCCAAAACAGAGAACATTAAATAGTTATTAACATCACTTTGTACAGCAGTACTTGTCACAGTACTAAGGCTGTCTCAGAGGTACAGCCATCAGAACGGCTGTCTTAGCTTAGCATATACATCATTAATATAAAGATGGCACAGAGTTAATGCTTTCATGCCCCACTAAGGAAATCACAGACCTCATCAGAGGACTTGCTAAATTCAAGAAATTATTCAGGTTCCTTGAAGAAGTTGAACTTCAGAAAAATCCTGTAGTTCCTATGTTCTCCTTCTGCTTAGTTTCAGAATGGTCTACCCTTTGTGGTCATGTTTTTGGTGTTGTGCTGGGAATATTGTGTAATTTTTGCATCTCAAAAATAGCTTAATTTATGCTCAGGGACTGGGATTTTAATTAGTTTTTGTTGCCAAATATTAAAATAATCGTTCTTACAGTAGGTGTAGCCATGTACTCTGTGACATTCAATTCCACCATCAATATGTCATCAGCATCTACAGCTGTCTGAAAAATGAACACAGATAAGACAGACATAAATGGCATAAAGGTATGTTACAGTATCTGACATATGCAATATGCATAGGAAAAAAAAGAGGACACCAGAGGACTGACTGAAAAGCAGTGACATGTTAAATATAGCCTTATTTTTTACATCTTACCATATGTGTTCATTTGGTGGCAAATGGTGAGACAACAGAAAGATTGACCAAGTAATTTGGATAGTGAAAGACTAATATTACTAAACACATACTTAAAACCAAACATGAAACAACTCTCCATTCAGATGCTAAGTTCTCTAAAACAGCAGGAGAAATGCAGCTGAATAATGAACTAGGGTGGGAATAAAAAGCTGACGACCTTTTATAGCCTCTAAGTCATTACTCATAGTGTTAACTCATAGGTTATCTGCTTATTCTTGGCAGGAACCTTCATGATTAATTATGGCACAATGTGCAGATTTGTTAACTTGTCAGTTGTCAGAGAATTTAGGTATTACACAGTCTATTACCTTCCCACAATTCCCAGAATCCTGGCTTGTCAATTTGGCTCTTATGTCACTAGTCTGAGTTGTGTCTTTATCCGTTTCATAGGAAATTTGTCTTCTGGCAAGTCTGGAGAACATACTGGGAGTATCAGTTTCTGTTTCAGTACAGCCCTAAAATTAATACAGCAAAAACATTCACTCTAGGTCCCTTAGACTTTCATCCAAGTTCCTCCAGTTTTACCTAGACAGAAATCGTAAAAGAGATAGGCATTGTATAAAAGACATTTCACAAAAGTTCTGCCATATATAACTTCATAAAATGTTTGCTTATAACATGTACGAATAAAACTATCAAGTCTGTTGCATCAAAATTCAGCTTACTTTTTTTTCCTCCACAGGATGCATTACAAAATTTGAAAGAAAATAGTGTTTCGTTACAATCTATTGTTGAAACTTTTCTGATGCCTCTTGTAGCTGGAAGGAGACAGTGTTTCCACAGTACTACCCACTTAGGAAGCACAGGTGTTTGGAGTAATTAGGGCCAAATTTGCCAAAGTGGCTTGGGTGGAAACAGCAATAAATAGAAGGAGATGTCTCAGGACTGCAGAATCAGTGCTTTAGAAATATTTTGTTTCAGGAAGGAGTCCTGGGTTTATAAACTTTGTTCCAATTAATGGGATAACAAAACCATGTTACTGAGGGAGTCTGTTGTTTTATTAAGAATCAAGATTCACAGTCTAAGAGATGCAATATAAAGATGTTCCTTTTCTATTAGCCAGTTTTAAAACCTTCCACCTGACTGGAGGCTACAAGCCAGAAGAATTTAATTTTGATTGGACTGAGAAGTCAAAAGAACAGAGAGGGCAAAGAAATTGAAATGCCACTGTTAAAAGCGACTGTCAGAATTCAGCTCTTGGCTGGATTAGATACGATTCTTATCCTGATTGTGAAGAAGAATTGCCAAGAAATTTTTGCCTTTTCAGTTATTTGGAAATTTAGTTTGAAATTATTGCAATGAACTAACTAATATGCTTATTTAGTTAGTAGTATAACTTTGAGTTACGAGAGGGAGTCTGGATACTTGCCCTGTTTTCAGCTGCTGTGTTAAACATTTGTTTCCATTTAGACTGGCAGCAGCAAGCTGTTGAGGTCTTCTGTGAGAAAGGTTCTGTAATGGATTTACTGATTTGCCTCAATCTGATGATTAATATGTTACCAAATACATCCCACTTCCAGAAAGCATTATCTATTTCATTACAATTTTGCTTTCACTAGAGAACTATTTTGTGACTAGCAGTTTCTTCTGTGTCCAGACTGCAAATCTGTGGTCAGACGAGCACAACCTAAAAGTATGATCAGACTTTCAACTGAGCTCTGATTACTCTTTGCTTCCTTTACTGTTAGCTAAGTACAACTTTACTCTTATCGGTAAACTTTGTTTTCTAAAATTCCTGTTGTTCCATCTTTCCACTCTTCTTTCAGTGTCACCCACCATCAAGAAGAAAATTATCTACATTCTGCTTTTACACTTCAGCCTTCTGTCTTTAATTTTGCTTTGTCCCTCCACTTTCTCTGGAGCTTTTATAACAAGCACCAAAATGCATTTCATCTAAAGAATCTACCACTTGGAAGGAATCTATATGAAAATGAGTTGCTTTGCAATTAGAAATGGGTGTATGGGAAGTGTCTCCCTTACTGATTCACTGTCAGAGAGAGAAGACAGTCTCCTTTTTCCTTTCTGCAGCCCACTTATCTCAGAAGACTGGCTGGTTACTGTTGTTCGTCTGGAGGAGTGGTAACTGCTGAAGGACCTTGAGTCTTTAGAAGGAACTCTCAGTAGGGGTCCAAGGCAAGGAACGTATGTTGCAATGGCTCTTCTAATGGATAAGAGGTAGAACCAGTCAGATTTTTTTCTGTTAGCACAAAAAATCAAACATTGTAAATAATGCATTTATTCAGAGAGATGAACTAATGCTGCTGGAAAACTACTGGGTACAAAAAGAGTTTTCCAGATATCAGATACCTCATATACAATCACCCTGCAAGATCATTTATTCACAGTGTTCTGCAGAACTCAAATTTATTGCCTGGCAGGGATAAGGGCATTAAAATATAACTCTTGGAACTGGAGGGAGCTATTAAAATGATATTTTATCTGCTTTCAGCTTAATCAGGGTAAAAATAAAATTCCCTCCCTTTAAACTGAACCTTGCAGAAGTACTACATAATGAATTATTTTAATCTTCCCCTAAGCAGCTATTCTAGCTCCTCTTACACATCTGTTTGCTGGCTATCTGTAGAGTTGTACAGAATGTGCATTTATATTACTGTATTACTTTGCTCATGTGCAGCATTAGGAAACTCTGGCCTAGCTTTCCTCTTCCTGCCAGCCTTCCCCACGTATGTGTTCCTGCCCACCTCTTCTCTATCCAGTTCCTCAGTAGGTCTTTGTAAGTGGTGAAACAACAGCCTATCTGTGGCTTTGCTGCCATCTGTCAAACCTCACTGCCTACATCTGAACTTGGAGTGGTAATGACCCTTCATTCTACCTGTCAGAGGAAATACTACCTGAAATATGAAAACCTTGAGAAATGTGAGGAGGATGCACAAAATAGGGAAGAAGTGGTTTGGCTCACTGTATTGTCTCACTGGCTTGTTTAATGTAACAAAATGCCCAATGTCTGCCTCTCAGGAAGACAGTTAAAAATTTATGACACTTTACTTTGAGATGGAAAAGTTTCCATCTTTTATCATGCAATAGGTAAATACAGATTAGTATCCATAAACATCTCTTACTACCATCTGCTCAGTAGTTTGTTCCAAGTACAAATTCCACTGATATTTCTATGGCATTGAAGAGTGTTCCTGGGGAGGGCAAGGCTGTACTACAGAGTTAAAATGAGCAGGTGAAGGACAGGTCAGGCACTAGTCCTAAAAGTGACAAATTTACTCTCAGATTTTCTTTGCTAAATTAAGCATAGCTTGTAAGAGTGAACTTACCTGTATTTGGGGTGAGTGATGGCATAAATGATGGGGTTATGGATGACAGAAGCTTTGGCAATCACAGCTGGTATGGAGTTCATGAAAGGTGTTAGGACATGGGAATACCTAGAGTAATGCAAACACATAATACATTTACTATTGAGTTCTGCATTGTCTATGCAGTTATACAGTGGCAAGACAGTGCTTTAAGGCTCTAGAGAGAGTAAAAGGTGAGTTTTGTACCTAAACAGTGAGAGAACAAATTCTACATCCTTTGCCTGTAAAGATCAACGTCAGTCTAGTTATATTTCTTAGAAATACAATTTTCTTGGGGCTTCTCTGGTAGTACTTCACTACTATTGACTCAGGATTGTGGTAATTCCCATGTTGTTTACCCTAGGGACAATGTCAGCCTTTAAGAAGGCCTCATCATCCTAGTGAGGAAGTTTTTCATCATATTATGGGAATATATATGCTCTGTGATGAGGTGGAAATGGTTTGCCAATTGCAATAGAGGAGCCATTTTGTCAGCTGCCTGAATGTTGAGATGCTATTTTACCTCTTAAGGCTTTTCTCTAATAAGGATGTTCTCCATCTGCAATTTTTAACATGCTTTCTCCTGATCATACATTAAAAACATTGATTAGAGGTATAAATCTTTACAGATTCTGGAGAACACACAGTGTGACCTTACTGGAATAGAGTTTTTGACCCTGAGCTGAGACAGTGCTTTGCTAAGACTGATGGAGAATTTGGCTAACAGAAACAAACGATGGCAGACCCTTGTGTTTAAGCTAATCATTCCCAGAAAATGCAACCTGTAGACCAAAAATATTAGTGAGCATGACTGTGTGCTAGCTCACTATTCCCCATTCAAAGTATTTTCTAGAGGAATTATGGTTCTTCCTTCCTTTTTCATATATTATTGCTCTGTCAGATAAGATGTCTTTAGTCCAAGACTATAGCCACAGACTCCATGTCTGCCTCCCATATGTAGCATGCAGCAGGATTTTATCTGAGTCCCCTGGAATAAAATTTCACAGAAGACATCCAGACTTGGTCTATTAATCTCTGAAAAATTACAGTAGAATTGCCTAAAAGACATAGTTAAGAAACAGAAAAAATCAGAATGAAGCTATGTTGCTCTCCAGATATCTTTATAAGCAAAATTTGAAAATGTTAATTTCTAACATACCGCAGAATTATAAAATTGTTCATTTGTTCAGGTTTTTGAGAGTATGAGACATGGAGCAGAAGTCAAGTTCAGCAGGTACTTGATCCTCCTAAGGCAGATGCTGAATCATACACGACAGCACTACAACTCTACATAGCGGTCAGTTTAAAGCATCCCTTAATTTATTTTTAGGTCTCTTACAGTACTGCAAGGTAGCTGTGCTTCATTTCTGTGTCTCCTTGCTTCTCCTCTGTGTCTAACTGGTCACAGTGGAAGATGTCCAGTATCTAAGTTCCCCTTTGACAGGAAATGGGACACGAGGACACATGCGAAGGATTCGTGTTTCTGAGCGAGGAACATGTTTACCTTCATGGAAGAAGTCTTCGTTGCAGCTGGGAATTACCCATCTGCATAAAGAGGGAGAGAACCCACTTCCCTCAGTATTTTTTCTTCTTAAACCTAAGATTTTAGAAGTGCTATGTTTAGGAAACTGCCTTTCTAAGCAGTTTTTGAGACAAGGCTCTGCAGTAGCCTCTTCCATGGGTGTGCAACAAAAATCACCTTTGTCTCCAAAAATGCTCCATCATGAGTAAATTTGAGCGGCGTGTCAATTTTAGGAACACCTACTTTTTATCTCTGACTTGAAAAATACAAAGAGAAGTGTTTTGTACTGTCATAGGAATCGTCCAGTTGAGATTTTGCAGGTGACCAGTCTCCTAAAACAGTCACACACATTTTAGAGAGGCTAAACTGAAGCACGGGAAAATTTACATCTCAAGGTGGGAGAAATAACCATGTAGAGCCAAGACATCTGGATTCCCAATCCTTTCCTTGTGCCTGGATTGTATCAACTGTCGTGTCAAGCTACATGTTTTAATATTGTCATGCTTCTGTTGAAATTACTGTATAAAATGCTGACAATTAAATAGATGAAGAACGTACTTTGATGATTTATATTTATGATCTTTTATATCCAGCATCAAAAAGCTCCTATAGCATGTATGTACTAATTTTGAACTTGCTTATACATGTAAGGAATTACATCAAACTGTTGAAACAAAAAAAAAAATTAATATACTTCTGTAGATTAAAGAAGCAGAGAAAAAAAAGAGAATCAACCCCTGGGAGGATCGTTTTGGAGTGCTTTATTTAGCATTTTGGAGCTAAATGAAATTCAGATAGTTCAAATATCTTAGCATAGAGAATGCATTCTGAAATCTTCAGCATGGCAGTTTATGTTGCCAGTGATAATATTCTTGTTTTTTCTCTCTCTTTTTTTTTTAATTTTAAAAAATTTTCTTAAAGTCAAACTAAGAAAAAATCAGTCAGCATGTGCCCCATTTGTTAAATACCACTCCTAAATATGGGAATATTTTGGACACGATTCAGACATTAAATGTGACAAGTAGCTTTGACTTTCATCTGTCTTTTACAATTTCACATCTTTTGCTCTCACTGAATATTCCTTTGCTGATACATTTATAATTACCCAGCAAAAGCTACCAGAGCAACGACAGAGTACGGTGACCAGGAAATGACAAAAAACAAGATGACAATCAGTGCAATTTTGGCCATCTTCCACTCATTTTTCATCCTCTGATACTGTTTCTGGAACTCTTTATTTCCACGTTTGCATCCAAATGTCTGAATAGACCTAGGAAAAATAAACATACAATAGCAAAAAACGAAGGTAGGGAAGGGAGCAAATAGCTTCATGAAGTGGGCAACAATTACTCTTCTGCTATTTAAGGCTAAAATTCATGCACCTTTATTGCATGTTAATGCAAGTATGTGACCCATCCTTCACAGTTTGATGTACTTCTGTTGCACTAATTAATGGCAAAATCCACATGTGCTTCAATGAAAAAATAGCCCTGTACCAAAAGATTTTCCACATAAAGCAGATATTCAAGCCAATTGAATAATGCTGAGTTAAAGACAGAGGAGTCTTTGCTTCCCTGGGTCCAGCTTTGCTCCCTTGCTGTCACTTTGTACTTCTGAGCTAAGTGACCAGATCCACTGGGATCTATGGGACGGGTATATCTACTGATGGCACATGGAGTGTCAGGCTGCCCTTTACTTTTAAAGCAACAGCTTTTTGTTTCAGACTCTTGCTATTAAAACTTTAATCTCTTTTTCAACCTTTAATCTTCTTTTTTTTTTTTTTTTAATTTATATTAAATTCTGTGTATTTTTCTGTGAAATAGTTATTGATACACAGTCATTAGGTGTTTCTGAGGTCCCTTTTGTTTTTATTCTGGTTGCTTAATTTCTGTACCCTTTTCCATGTCATTAGATAATATACTGATAAGCTCAGGCCTAAATTCAAGAATGGCCCTTCTAAGAATCATACTTCTTACCATGTTGACTATTGACAGAATTCTCGTTTGGTTTTCTGTTTCAGTTGTGCTTACAAAATTAACACAAGAAACTGTTGGGAAGGATGAAAATTTAATGGAGGAGTTTTGCAGATATACAGAAGGTTCTATAGGAATGAAAGCAAGTTTTGATATAGAAGAAAAGAATTGCTGAGCCAATCTTACTGGGTAATTAGAAGGCAAAGAGCAAATGAGTTGGAAGGGGCTTTTACGACTTAGAGAAAAGGATAAATCCACTTCAAACAAAAGATGTTTCTAGAAGCAAAAAGATTTTCATAGGCAAACAAGAAAGCCAGTGCTGCAAGTAGAGAAAAGATCTCAGAAATTTCTGCAGAGCAAGTCCCAAAGTTTAACATGTAACTACTAACTCAGATGATTGGCTAGTCACTAACATATCATGGTAATTTTAGCAGTTTTGATAGGTTATATGTAAATGTAAAAGGTATTGTGTATGATGTTGATTGGTAGTCATGTATTAAGATGCTCTGTAATGAAAAGTATAGAATGCATTTTAACCAGAAATAGAATTGGGCTTCAAGACACACGGCTTGCCTATAGCCAGCAGCTCTAGGCTCACCCACCCTCAATTGCTGTAACCTCGTCTATGCAATAAACAGCATTTTAAGAGCTGGCTGAAAGCCTTGGTCTCTCCGTCAGACTCTTACAAGAAACGTTCCAATTTTCTTCTTTCTTTCTTTGTTTTAAGAAAAGGAACAGTTTTCTAAGCACAACTTAAACACAAGGATTAAAAATTTAGGACTGTTGGCTACTTACTTGTTGGCCTTCTTGATAGCCTCAAAAATAGAGACATAGCTGTATATAATAGCAATCAAAGGAATGAAAAAGACAAAGCAGAAAAGAAGCATCGTGTAGGCACGGACTGATGGTGTGAAAGTCATGTAGTCCCAGGAACAGGAAGTCAGCAAACCCTCAGGAACATATGCACCTAGAAAGGAACACAGGAGAAGGCATAAACCATGAAATGATTGTTATTCTGAGTGCAGAAGTTAGAGAAGATACTCAGAATAACATGGGATTTAGTCCTATTCTGTGAAAGGAAAAAATGGTTTAAAAGGATAAACAATTCTTCATGTAAAGCATTTTTATATTTTCTTTTATTTTGTTTTCCTATTGTATTTATGTTTAGTAGTAGGCTAAAAGACTTCAGAAAACGGAATAATTTTGCTTCAGTCTTGAATATTGTTTAAAACTCATCATAGTCAAAGAGAATATCTCCAAATACTTACTTGGATCTGCATTGTTTTTAAATATCTCCATTTCCTGTCAAATTGCTTTCTTCCTTTCTTTTTGGAGTCAAACCAATTGCTTTAGGTACCACTTTTCTAAGCATGTGCAGATAAGAAAAATTTACTGGGCAAAGGAAAAAGTTTTATTGTGTTGACCAAATTATTTTGTCATAAAGTAAAGCTGAGTAGAAGTAAAAAAAAAAACAAAACCAAAACCACCGCACATACTTAATGTTCTGCCTGAAATAAAATGTATTCTCTTTAAAGGAACTGTTTTGAAGTGTTAAGTAAATAAATTGGCAGTAGCAACCTCTTTTTACTTTGGAATTTTAATTTTAACTGTTTACGCTGATATTTTCTGTTCCACTTTCAAAAATATTGCACCAGATGTTCTCAAATTCATCTAATTACAGTGTGAGAGTTCATACTGTGGGCACTATTACAATCTAATTACGAGATAATAACACCCTTCAAGCAATTATTCCACCTTCTTCAACTGAAAATCTATAATCTAAGGCTATATTGTTATTTTGTTATTCTAACAGCTTCTCACTCAACCAAAGACTGTTTCTGTTAGTATTGCAGTTTGCCTGCTTAAGCATGCTTCATGTTTAGGGGGACCAGAATGGCAATAAGATGACAATAACAAAACTCTGTTGAAATTCTACTCGGTACCTGAGTTGGTTGTTGCATCCTTTATTAGTCAAGCATGTCTATGTTCTCACCTCAGTCAGCAGACACATTCTTTTCTGAAATTAGGGAGCATAATGGTGGGCTGAGGTTTTGAATGATGAGTTCACTATAACTTAGTGACTGCAACTGGTGACTCTTGGGAAATAAACTTAATGGTAGTGAGGCAGATTCCAGTGAGGAAGAATAACAGAAACAAATTGCAGTGATCAAGGAGCTGTATTAATGTTCCAATTTTCATGTGCAAAATTCAAATTTACAAAAGCATTTTAGTTACTACTAAATGCCATGCTTATTGGAAGCCAGTGACAACACCAATGACTGAATGGAGAATGTGGACAACACCAAGTACAATTTGTCCATCCAGAACACATTTAAGACGTATTGAAGATCTCCTGGCACAAATGCTCAGACTGTATTCCTTTTTTATGTGAATAAAAAGAATTAGATTGACACTGCTGTCTTAGATGGCACCTTTGGGGATGAAAATTCATCAGAAGTAACACAAATACATCTATTTAACATATACTGTTGAATTTGATTCAATAGGAGTAGACACGGGATAATGAGCAGACACTGGATAATGAGCAGACACATTCTTCATAAATTTTGGCCATGAATTTTTCTACTGTTCTTTATGCAGTTAGTCATGTACTTAAGGGAAAATGCCACTGTCATATAATATGCTCTAATGCTCACTGTATTCTTTTCTTTTGATTAGAGACCTTGAGATTCAACATGTATTTAATCTCTTTTTTTCAAACTGGTCTATTCGAGCCAAGTATGTGAGCTATTAATTCAACCCCCTTCTGTACCTTTAATCCAATGCTATGAGGGCAAAAAAGTTTTATTCCAGTTCACTTACTCCATCCAAAGAAGGGTGGGAGACTCCAAGCCAAAGAGTACAGCCAGACTCCTACCAGGATTATTAAGGCCTTCTTCTTTGACGTCACTCCAACAGAAGCCAGAGGTTTAGTGATGACAAAATATCTGTCCAAGGCAATCACCATCAAAGTGATCATAGATGTAATGCCAAAAAGAGCTCCGCAGAAGGCATACAGCTCACAGCCTTGCAATGAAGATGACAGAAGTAGCATTGAAATTAATCTACCCATGCTGATTATTTCTAGGAGAGTTCAAGTCTGTGTTCCTTATGAACTAATGTCTTCTGGAATTTGTAAAGCAATGAAACTTGAGTTTTCCTGCAGTTATAATGCTACTTCAAAGCTGCTGTCTGTCTTGCTAATTACATTATCCATGGAGATAAACTTCAAAGATTTTGTTTGCTTCAATTGCTGGAAACAGTAATACTTAACATATTTTCACTCATTGATTTCTGATGTTTCTAGTAGGATCATTTCAGCAGTCCATTAATATCTCGTTTAACTCCAGTTTTACTGCAGGTCCCATAGAAGCAGCTGTTTTGCTTAACAATGGGATATAGTTACTTCGGTACTGTTTATATCTCAAGGGCAGCAAAACTGAAGTAAATATGAATATATTAATGAGTAATCTAGCTGAAGTAAATATTCAGACTATGAATACATTAATGCGTGATTTTAATTGCTCAAACAACCTCATAATTAAAAGCAATGGTTTGGATTAGTTTTTACATGTATGCAAATTAACACTTAAATGAAGTGAAAAAAGTATGCTTTTGGTCATCAGAGATCAAAATAGCAATTTTACTTCTCCGAGTTTCCTTTCTGTCAGTACCTATTCAAGAGGCAAAGACTAGTCTTCCTATTATTACAATTATATTGGAAGAATGAAAGCAACTTCATTCCACATTTTCTAACTACACAGGAAGTGTTAACATTTCTGCTGTGAAAAATCAGGTTTTCCAGGCTATCTTACTTCATTATGCCAGGTGCAAGTCCCAGAGCAGGTTATTTCAAAGGGCTTTTAAACTGATGTGCTGAGGGGGAACGCTTTTTTGTCAGAGGACTCCAACAGTAACTAAGTCATGAGGTGATTGGTGAAGAACACTGGCAAGATTAGTGCTGTGCCTCATGTTGGCAGTGGTTCCTTTGTCTCATTAATGTAATTTTCCTCTCATGATGGCAGTGTATTTATTGCACACAGACACAAATATTCAAAGAAATGTTTGTGTGAACACTGAAACAGTGTTGAGAAATGTTCTCAATATTGCAAGAGTACCTGAGGGTAGATAGATTAACTGCCACTATGGTAACAAGATAGTGAAATCTTAGAAAGAACATATACAAACCTTTCTCACCAAAAATCCAGTGTTTGTAGAGGCTGCTGGTGAAAAAAACTGGAGACTGTGTAATGGACATCAGGAAGTCACTAATAGCTAGATTGATGATGAGTATGTTGGCTGGAGTCCGAAGGCTCCTACTCCTACAGAGATCAGAAGAAATGTTGCTAAACACTGCTGCACTGTTAATTATGCTGTTACTTGTTCCTGTGAGCTCACAAATACTAAGGAACACTACATGGTAAGCTAAAGCAGTGCTTCTTGTTTCCCTCATGAGGGAACACAAGCAAGGCTCAGTTTTACACCCTTATACTCCTGTGCACTTTACAGGATTGTTTTGATAACCAGCTCAGTGATGGGCGTAAATCACACAGTTCTTCAAATATTCTAACCAGTGCACTGCATATCCACGATTAACAGGAAGTTCAAGTTGATGTACACGATGGATGTCTGGATCTGGGCTGTGTAGAGCAGGAGAAGGGGCATGCATTTTCCACTGCTGATAAGATCAACAGTGACTTCCTAATACAGGGATTAAGCAAACTCACTATGAACCACATCAAATGCTTTGTTTTACATCAGTTCTTTTCTGTGACTCTTATTTCACTGGCCCAGACTCTGTCTTTAAAAGAGCAATAAGCAGCCTTCAGTGTATTCTGCCTGCTTTTGTTATTCATAATATTACAGTACCATGTTTTAAAGGGTTTTAAACTCAACGGAGAACTCTTCACTTTGGGGCTCAGTGCAACTACTTAGCTCCTTTCTCAATTTCAGTCTTAGACATAATTGAAAATTAGGTGAATAAACCATGGTTTTTTGCACTGGTCTGGAATCACTCACTAGGACCACCATCCCCTTTCTGTCGGTTTAGGAGCAAGAAGGTATTATTAGTAGGGGCTTATGGGTTGTGTGTATTTGCAGTCTGCGAAGTCACTGAACACATTTCTGGTTTAGGCAGCTGGTTCTCTTACAGTTTGTCATTACCCGAGGCTGCACCTAAACTGTTTTCCGATTTTCTGATGTACTCGTTACTTAGCAATCAGTATCCCTTTCTGTCTTCATATCACCTTCAAATGAAGACAAGCTGTGTCGTCCAGTGGAAGTGCCATTGATGCCTTGGGATTTAGCTTTTATATTTTTCAGATTCTCTGCTGCTTAGTGTGTAACTCTGAAACTTCACGTTGGGTGTTGGTGATTCTCTTCACATGGTAGTTAGACAGAGTAATCCCTTCCTAGCTAGAGAATTAAGGACACTTGTTATCCAAAAAGCAGAAACAAGGGCAAAGGAAAGGGGACAAGCCAGGGGGCTGAGACTCCATAGCCTGGGGATGTGGTTGGACAATTGACCCCAATGTGTGGATGAACCAAAACTTATAAAAGTGTAAAAACTCGTGACCAGGATCCATCTTGGGATTGGACTTGCACTACCCAAGGTGTATCCTTTCAATAAATACCTATTTTATTTCTTTTACTCTGCCTTGTCTCTGTTCCAGGTCAGCCTTTCCAGGCATCCCCATAACTAGATTTCCTGTATGGGACCAGCTAAAGAGATAAGCTGGCCCATGTATTTCATCCTCACGTATCTGATCTGCATGCCAACACCTTTTCTCTTCTTAAGGCCACTGTCATTCTCAAGTGTTGGTATCTACTCTGAATGAATGTGCTGAAACCTGCCCATAAATATAGGCTTAAGACCAAGAAAACTTTCATTTACACTCCAGTGATCTAAGTTGACACAGCCAAATTTTCCTATAATTTGGTGCTATTATTTTGGTTTATTACATTAGTGCCTAAAGACCAATCACACAGTAGAAGTTCACTGTCTTGAACATCATGTCAGTGCTCTGCCCCAGTATGACAAATCAGACACAGAATGAGGAGTGAACAGGAATGGTGAGCATATGACATTGTTGTCAGAGATCCAATTTTCCTCAGATATAAAACTTGGAATATAGCTTTAGTTAAAAGGAAACAAGCAAAGTGTTGCAAACTGTGAAAAAAATAGGACATGGCCACTAATGAACGGGGGGAAGAAAGAAACTTACTAGTAAGAACCAGGAGGAAGGAAACATCTAAAATGGAGCAGATTTGTGAGGTACAGGGGTACAAACCAGCCCATCAGTTCAATGCAGACATAGCCAGCAGAATAATATTCACTGTAACATTTCTGCTTTGGCTGCACTTCTATTGCTTGGAATAGCTGGGTGATTCTTTACAATCTTGCTAACAATTTTGCTATGGCTGCAGTTAATGGGAGGAAGTCAGAAGGAAATGGCAGGTTGCCACTCTTTTCCTACAGCAATGTCTCTTGGTGCATTTTACTCTGCCAGTAAAGTAGTCTGATAGTATTGTTGGCCTGTGTTTGCAGTGCACAGGACACAGTTCAAGTTCATACATTTGAATATTTAAAAAGACATTCAAAAGGAAGGTACCTGCAGAAAGCATAGAAGACCATGAAATTACCCAGTGTTCCTGTAATCCCCACTATAAGAATGACAGCTCCAATCGTATAATGGGCATGATCTGGGACATCCACTGTGGGAAAGGCACGAGGAACATCTTGCAATGTCATCTTCTGTGGAGCAAATAAGAGGTTATAGGTACATTGCCAAACTTTCTGAATAAGCTGGCATGTGCTTCTCTAGAAGGAAAAATGGTCAAGAATGCAAAAAGACAACAAGCAAAAAAAGCCAGAATAAATTCAAATTCCATTTACTGTTGATCATCTTTGGGGAATAAATATGCCATCAGCAGTGCAAAGGACAAAGGATGGTTTGTATGCTTACTGTTGATTTAGAATTTTGGTGAAGAAAAGCAACCTATTCTCTACCAAAAGAAAAATAAGAATATAGAGGACAAAAAGAGACAGGAAGGGACCCGTTTCATTGCATCTGATATCAGGTAATGCAATATTTAACAACAAGCAATATTCCTATAGATTTAATTTCAGGGAAGTTTCTGTACCTGTGAAGTACAATTTCAGTTGTCCCGACATCACTGGCTACATTCTCTAAGTAGAAATGTTCTATGGATAAATAGGCATTTACTCCTTTAGCAAAATGGCCAGTTCATTATTCATCTTTCCCACTGTATAACACTGAATTTTGAGCTGCCCTCAAGAGCTGATTACCAAAAGCCTGGCAGCTTGAACAAGTCTTTTGGCAACTAAACTGATGATCAGAAAACAAAACCACAAATCCTTTATACCTTATGCCTGGTATCCACACCAGTTCTGGTTTTGGTCTGCCTGAATCAAGATATTCTGCTCTCTGTGATGTACTTCATAAACCACTTGATTGAAGCATTTCTGTCTTTATCAGTTCGTAACTCACAGCAAAATTCAGTAGTCAAGTCTGAAGATTGCAGTATTGGAAATGGGTATTTTTCAACAACAGAGGCGGACTCTATTTCCAAATACATCTGTGAGGTTGGCCTGAGGTTATTACAGGCAGTGTGTATTTAAAACCAATGTGCCAATAGTAAGAGGTGAGCCCCAGGAGTGCCTGGAATTCTGGATGAGATTGCTTTGTGTGCTGAAGATCTGCCCACAGCAATCCTCAACCACCACAGTGCACTCCCTGGGTTTCTACATTAGCAGCAATGAAATGCTGGACAAATACTCTGATCCTAGAGAAAGAAAATATAATTCTGACTGTCATTGTAATTGGAGCAAAATGTTAAGTTTGATACACTAACTGAATGACAGTATCATGGCATTTATGGTTCAGGTTCCTACAGCAAAGTGGAAGTCGGCATAACATCATCAACATCAATGGGCATCTTGCCCAGCTAGAAATTGCTGTGCTCAACACATTGCCAGTAAACTAACAAAAATAATTCCATACTAGTAGCAAGTGGATAGGGAGAGTCTGAGAGAAAACTCTTTCAAATAAATGAGATCAGGTGTTCTTTGGTTTGGGTTGGTTTAATTTTCCTTAGTCTTATGGCTATAACAGTTTTAAACAGCTGTTCTGCAGAGTTAATTATGATTACTACTAGAATGGAGATTTCTGATGGTTTTCCTCTGTAGCTATCCATTTAATCAGAACTGGATCAATGTAATAAAAGTGAAGCAAATAAAGGAGCTTGTTTTGGCTATGAAGAAGAGATTAAAGTGGCTTTAATTTGAATGAAATTCAAATGTGGCACACTAAGGACAAGGAAAAATTTGAAAGAAAAATATAAATACATTGAGAAATCACAAGAGAGGCAAGGTTAGTTAAGGGAAAGTAGAAGAGTAAAATTACTTACTCATTAATGAAACAAGTTCAGAGTCAATAAATATGTCAAGTGTGAGAAAAAATAAAGGAATAATATTTATACTGGAGCAGTGCTAGGGCATAAATTATAAAACTGCATATATAATCAGGAAAAGGTGTGTGGCAAAAGGAATAAATTAGCATATTAGTGTGGAGTTCTGTAGGCCTTGGATTTTTACCAGAGGATACAACTCGGCTGTTCTCTAAGAGACTGAGATAAAAATCAATTATTAAAAAAAAAGTAGTTTCACTATTTTCATTGGAAATACAATTATTATTCTTTATGTCAAAGAAAGGTATTAGTTGATCAAGAAGGCATTAGATCAGGCTTAAGCACTTCAAATCCATCACTAAGTTGCATACATACACACAGCTTCCTTAGTAAAAGACAAAAATACGTACTTGTATCAAGTTCAGCCCTGTGTCCTCTGTGGGAATCAAAAGAAAGGACAGGGAGAAAAAGATAGGGCTTGAGAAAATCAGGTCAGCAGGATAATCAAGAAATCAGATAATTCCCAAAGCCTTTCTCTATTTAGTTTCTCCAGTGCATTAGCCCTGTTTATTCTGTCTTCTACTGTCATCGCACAAGTACAAATACTTGGTTGGCGGGGAGAAGAAAAATCCCCCTGTTGCAATCCATATTGTAGCACTTGTCCTTTGAGAATACTCTGACCAATATTTCAGTTGCAGTGATAATAAACAGCAGTGTTGCCTTGCATGTTTTCTGTTCAACCTTCTTTCTATAAACACCTTGTAATGAAGATATTTTGACTGGGACTGGCACTATTTAACAGTTTGTTGGCAATATGGACAGTGGGATTGAGGGCACTCTCAGCAGCTTTGCTGATGACACCCAGATGTTTGCTGCAGATATGCTGGAAGGAAGAGATTCCATCCTGGAGAGGGACCTGGACAGGCTTGAGAGGTGGGACCATGCAGACCGCATGAAGTTCAACAAGGCCACGTGCAAGGTCCTCCGTGTGGGTCCTGACAATCCAAAGCACAAATACAGGCTGAGTGAAAAAGAGATTGGGAGCAGCTCTGGGGAGAGGGGGTCTTGGGGGTGTTCAGTGTTCATAGAATCATAGAATGGTTTTGGTCAGAAGGGACCTCAAAGATCCTCTAGTTCCAACACCCCCTGCTATGGGCAGGGATACCTTCCACTATCCCAGGTTACTCAGAGCCCCATCCAGTCTGCTGTTGAACGCTCCCAGGGATGGGGCATCCACAGCTTCTCTGGGCAATGTGTTCCAGAGCCTCACATCCTCACAGTAAGGAACTTTTTCCTAATATCAGGTCTAAACCTACTCTCTTTCAGTTTGAACACATTACCCCTTGTCCTATCACTATGTCCTTGTAAAATCTCCCCCCCTAATTTTGTTGTAGTCCCTTTAGGTACTGGAAGGCTGTTCTAAAGTCTCCTCAAAGCTCTCTCTTCCCCATGCTCAATGAACCAAGCTCTCTCAACCTTAACTCAAGATTAAAAGCAGGTGTTACAACTTGGGTGTGTATGAAAACAGGCCTTTTGCTAAAGCTGTGTAAAAATTTGTTTTTAATCTCTGGAAGGCATATAATTTATTATTTATTTACACTATAGTTTTGCAGAATCAATTTGAGAAGTGCCACACTGGTTCAGATGAGCATCCCTGACAAAACACCAGCCTGTTTTTAGCCAGGACTGGGCATTTCGTAGAGATAGCAAATGTGCATAATGATCAGTGATGTGGAAATTTAATTTTAAGAAGAGTCTTAGTGATTGGTTTGTACCCTAAAACAGTGTTATTATCCATTGGAAAGGAAAATCTTAGTCCTCCACAAATTTTTTATCCTTCATATATATAGGTGTAATCCTTTGCTAAATCCTATTCTGTCATTTGCCTCAATAGATGCAGAGTCAAGAAGTTAGAGTTGCTCTGTGTCAGTGTGTTTCTTTCCAGCAGGTTTAAGTATGTCCTTGTGGAAGCACTAGAGTAGAAGGAAGCAGCTAGGTTTAAGGAAGTTTGCCTTTTAAAATGCTCACTCTTTTCCCTAAAGGAATATTTGTCTACTGCCTACAACAAAACAGCTGAAACAGAACTGTTTTCAGTTGCCTTGCAGTAAACTTTCCTGAGACTTACAAACTTGAGATGCTTTCTGGGAGTTTGGAGAAAAGCAAATGTTTTATAGATAAATAGGTCTAAATCCTTGCTGCAGCACAATATGGAGCCTCATTACTCTATATTCATTACCTGCTACCACAGCTGCTTGCAAGGGAGGCAGACAGAACTTCCTTGAGGGACCATCTGAGGAACCAGTTTGCTTCTTTAGGAAGGGACAGACTAAGGCTTGGTGCAGAGAATGGAGTAAAAATGAATCAGCCACAGGACAGATTCATTAAGGCACATAGGGCAGAACTTGTATTTCACCATAAAGTATGTTAAGACCCTCCAAGACATTAATATGAAGACAATTGAAAGGATAAAACAACTCTTTTGCAATCTAAACCAAAATCCCAATTCCTAAGTGATTTCTCCAGGTAACAAGGAAGTCTAGATCAGATATTAAACCCAGGAATATTTGATGCCTGTGTGTGTTTTGTCTTGGGAAGCCATTTATCATACAGTTTCCTAAAGAGAATGTTTTCTAAATAGTTACTAACAATTGATGAAATTAAAAAACCCAAATGAATCAAACCATTAGTTAGTTATTTAGCTAACCTCTGAATAACTTCTAGTTGAAGATATACCATTTTTGAAAGTTCAACACACATCCCCATAGCATGAGAAAAGTATTTGTGTCTATGTGATTAAAGGACAACATTCCAAGAATGGAATTCAACTATTACTGAGAAAAAACATCTGTTCTTTTTTGGGGTGAGGAAATAAAATTATTTCACTTAATTCCTGTTCACTTGGAGATGTTTGTTTCTGAAGTCCTACTAAAGCAAACAATGATGATGCAAGGCCATGCAAGCAAATACTCATAGTAAATATAAATCATATCTGATATAGCCCACTCCTCACAGTCTCACAATGGCAAGAGTATAAGATCAGGTTTAGTTATAGCTACAGGGAAACAAGAAATCCTCATAAGGTCATTTGGGCATTTGAACATATTTCAGTGCTGATTCTGATTGATTGATTTGCATGACATCAATTCCAAAGCAAGGAGCAGAAAAAACTATGTCAAAGACATTTTTCTGCTACTGCTGCCTGAACATGGCAGAAGTATGGTACATAAATTGGTGTAAAACAAGACAACAAAAGGGGAAAGAAAATAGGGAATGCTATGTAGTTGCTTTTGTGAATTCATCTAACTTCAAACCGTAGGCACTGGTTTTGCAGGAGGAATGTTATAATAGAATAGAGCCCAGTTCCAAAACATTGCAAGTTTTGGCAGTCCAACATGAACTTTGGAAATATAACAAGTTTCTTTGTTCTTAATTTTCCTACAAAGGCAGGTAAGAAAGCCATTTATTTACACAGTATGACTTATACAACCAATGATAGTGTTAGGCCTTTTACATTACAACAAATAACATAGTTTAGAAAAATTATCTGACCAGAAACACTGTAATTTCCTGGGGTTCCTTTTGTGGTGTTTGTACTGCCTACCTACAAGAGACCTCAAACAAGTGATAGCACTTATTTTCCTTTACAGGTCCTTGTTCTGATTTCTGAGCTTGCCTCTGTGGGCACTTGCTCTGTGATGACAGGCAGCACAGAGAGGAGTGTAATCCCCCCTCAATTATGGTTTCAGCAGGGTGACGCTCACTGCTAAGCCCTCTTTCCAGTAGACAGCAGGGCTTTCCACAGATGATGCTTGTCCTGTTGAGCAATTTGGATAGCAGATTTTGTATCCTATCTTCCAGATTTAATCTCAGCCACAGGCAGCACACGCTGCTTTCACGCCTGAAACTCTTAAGCCAGTCTTTGTGTCAAGTTAAAATGCAAAATTTTGGTGATAGAGACACTTGACCCAGGGAGAGGAAGGGGACAGCTAATTAGATCTTGCAGCAGAATACAGAAAAGATCAATTTTTAATTTTCCAGTGTAAATCACTGTCCCCAGAATCCTTTTCCATTTTGCCATGTACTCTCTAGTCCCTTTCCTCCCCCCCGCTATATTCTGCTGTCCTTTTTCACGTGTTATCCTTCTAATTTAGTCTTGTAAAGCGCCTTGGCTCAGGACACTTCTTTGTTTATTTTTTGTAATATACTGCAGATATCCAGGTTTTATTAAAAAATATATTTTAAAAACTTGGAAAATTAGGTTGGTATGTGTTTTCATTATAAACTTTTAAACAGACTTTGTAAAAACAGCACATGAACAAAACCTGTAGTCCTAATAATATTCTGAGGGACAAAGCCAAGAAGAGGACTTCTGAACTCCTTTCGTTCAGGCTTGTGGCGTGGGATGGAGAAAATTTTTAGCAAACCCAAAAAATTCCAACCTGAAGTATCATCACAATAGATTCTCACTATAACACTTCCAAAGAAAATGGCTTTCTCTTAAGTATATAAAAACTCAGAAAGAGCTTTGATAGGACTTTCTTGGGTAACTGCACATAAGAACTCTTTTGACATTTACATAAGCACTCCACTGCACTTACAGATTACTACAGAAATTATGGGGATTTCTGCCCTGAATAACAACACGAGAGAGCATTGTGTTTGAACTGCTAAACAGCAGTTTACCGTACAAGAACATCTTGTTTTGATAGTTTGCAACATATTTGATGCACTTTACCATTAGACATTCCTGCCTGTCTTCTGCTATGAGTTGCCATGCAACTCTGCTGAAAAACACTGCTTCTACAGCCCTTTCTGTGTTAAATAGATAGTTAAAGGAATAAAAAGAAGATGTAAAAGTTTCTGTTATGTAGTTCAGTATTGCATTACAGCCTAAAATGTGTACATGCTCCTTAACTGTCGATTTACAGTCCTATAAATGCCAGCCTTGCCAGACATCTACATGCTACAGCTTTAAGCGAGAGAAAACACTTACTGTTGGGGCTCTAAGAGGCAGATCCATCAGTGTGTAGGCATTGGCTTCTGAGTCATTCCATGCATTGAAGGACTCCACAGTTTTGGTGCTCTTGGTTTCCTCGGAGGGACAAAAGATCCCCTTCTGAATGGGCTGATTATTCAGGTGAACAAAATCTAAGCAAAAACTAAGAAGGAAGAGCTGTTGTCTGAATTTAAGTCAGTCACTTTACCTTTGTGTGTGAAGCAGGTTGTTAGATTCTTTGGAATGGTGTGAGATCCAATGCAGAATTTCTCACTAGAGCTTCAGATTGCTTCAGTCCATCATCAGCTTAGCAAAGGGCAGCAGCAGCTGCTTCCATTTAAATACGGGAGAGGGCAGAGTCCGCACATGCCCAGTTTGCAGCTTGTTCCATCCTGATTCCAGCTTCACTTTAATGACAGTATAAAACTGATGCTCACTTAAAAGTGCTGGTATCTGGTTTTGCCTTCGATCAATTTATGTCTGAATTTTAATGCTATTCCCACACTATCTCTGTATGAAGAAAAGAAGTTAAAGGTGGAGTTCACTCTGTCTTAAATATACCATTCTTTTTCACCATATTGGTGAGTTAGTTTTTGTAGTCTACTTTTAAAGGAGATGCATATGTACAGTTCTGCTGAAATTGTCAGAACTCAAATAGATTCTGATATTTAACAATGTGCTTGTATGCACTTCTGTCTTGTAGAATTTAGGTCATGGTTGTTTGTTGGTCTACTTCTAAAAATAAACAAAACATAGGAATAAGACCTGACATCATCCTTTTTTGCGCTTTAGTTAAAAAACAAAACAAAACAAAAAACCATACACAAATACCTTAAGCAGAAAACAGCAAATATCCATTTGCTTCAAGAGCTGCCTGCTTTCTTTTCAGCTGTGTTTAGGTAAAGTACACATGAACACATGTACACAAATCTAGCTTTACATTCCACTTTGCAAAGAGATGAGTTGCTGTATTCCCAGTTGAAGGCCCATTACTGTTGTAAAGTGAAGTTTAATTGCAACAGAGAATTAGGCATAGAGTGTGAAAAAGCTCTTCTAGCAGATACTGCATCCTGAGTATCACAGAGTTTAGACCTTCCACCCACTGTCCAAATGACCCTGATGCAAGCTATTAGCTTCACTGCAGTTGGTATTAAAAATAGATGGTGTGAACTGTTACTGGAAAGCCTTTGTGAGAAGGCTGGGTTAGTAATGGTGGGAACTACATTCCCCCAGCTCTGCACACCTACTTTCCTTAAATGAACCTGCAGTATCCAGACATAAACTGAAGGATTGCATTTCTTTGTGTGAATGGGAGCTGTGCCTCTAATGAAAGGTACTCACCTATAGTGTTACAGTTTCCCTTGAAAGTCAAGGAGGGAAGCAATCCTTGTTGTCACCAGGTCACTGAACATTAATCAGCAGAGGTGCTCCTACAGGCTCTCAAACTGTGACACCTTAAGAGTAATTATTAGCAGGTCCATTATGAAAGGCAGAGAGATTTCACTGAGTGTCCCTGCCCTGCAGTGTTGATAGATGCAAACAAGCCAGATTTAAACCAGCTGTGGCAGAACTGCACCCAGAGGTGTCTGATCCACTGACAAGTTTCACCTTTGCCAATGTCTGAGATTCTATGGTCACTTTTAGAGTGTGCTCTTCCCTTTTGCTCTCTATGTAACATCAGGCACATGAATATCAGGGCAATGGTGGATGTGACATTAATGTACGAACTTCAAAACACAAAAATTCAAAAATTGATGTGAACTCCAAATCCATCCCTCTGTGCATACACAGTGCTTGCACTGTAAGGATGGTGCGGCAAACAATGGTGTTGGACATCTTGGGGGACCTTTTTGGAAGATAATTTTGCATTTTACTATGAAATAGGAGATTTCAGAAAGCCACAATGTGAAGCTGTCAAAGACTTGTACCATCTTCAGATGAAGCTAATTGAGGAGAAGAGCAGAAAGTACAGCAATGATTGGCATGCAGAGAAATGAGACAATGGGAGGTCTTCCATGTATGAGCTCTGTACTCAAAGGAGTTGCACACAGTTACATCCTGATCTTGTCAGACTGAGAAGACATAAAGTTTGAGACATACAATCTTCAAGACGAACATAAATACTAGATCAGATGTGATCTGTGACTTGACATTCTCATTGGCTTTGCTTAGATCCTCCTAGTTTTCTGCTTTATGTCTTAGTTTTGTACAGTGTCAACACTCAATCTGTTCACATACAGTTTGTACATAAAGTTCTCCTTTTCTCTGGGCCACAGATGACATGTTTCTTCCTTCTTATTTCCCCTCATCTTAACAACAAGTCAATGCACTGAAAATATTTCATTTCCAGTTAGCCTGGAAGTGTGAACTTTTTTGGCATTTTTGGGGGAGCCTGTAATATGTTTGGCAGAGTAACCAAATAATAGAATAAATACATAGATATTTTTAAAGTAAATTAGACATTATAGAAGCTATCTCCCTGCTTCATTTGATTTGGTGTTGATGTACATGCCTTTGCAGAGAGATTACTTTGATTGGTTCAGCAGTTCCTGAGAGCATATTATGAAAGAATATGCAGTGTAAAGGAGAGAAAGGAAGTTTTCCCATTGGGAAGCAGATGCTAGTCCAAAGAGGGCTACTCATTTGGTATCCTTCCTTAGCCTTAGGACTCTGCTTCTGTGAATGCTAGGCACTTGCAAGCTAGGGAAGCTATTTCTGAAAATTGGACCTCTACCACTCAGATTCATGGCCCGTGGAGAGGGTCTCATATGATGGTCGCTGTGTGATCCTTTACTATGGCAGATTGCTAGGGGCAACTCAGCTTCCATGGAAGGAGAGGAATCATCCTAGAACTGAAGTATGAGACATTCTCTGTCCCTAGGGCTTGGGGAATTGGACAAAGACATACAGCAAAACACTCACAAAACATTTTTCTCTTAGGTTTTCTTTGCTTTATATGCATTGTTAAACCAGATAGAACAGTTCTAAGAGTTCTGTTGAGAAAGAATTGTTTTGCTTTATAGTTAAAGCTATTTCACTTGAAGTTATCAGAACATTAGACTTTTGCATCAGGAGGCAAATTTGGCCTTTCTTTCCCTTGTTTATTCTCTACCAAAATCGTGCCTCTGTTGTATTCCTGGGAAGCCTAATGGAGAAAACATATCAGTTTATGACCCCAGGTACTTTCCAAAGGCATCAACTCATTCTAAAGCTTTCAAATATTTTTGCCACAAGTTCTGTGTGTGAAACATGCAGAAAGTTCACCTGGCTTATGGCCCAGTGTGAATTGCCCTCCAGTAACTTCTAGAGAAAGGAAAACCTGCCTAGCATTAATCTCTCAGAATTCTGTCACATTGAACTATGGTGAGAACAGCCTTCCCACCTTGAGAGTCCTGCCTTCGGCTGGATGCCAGCTGCCTACCAAGCTAATCCATCCCTCCCCCTCTTCTACAGGATGAGGAGGGAAGGAGAAAATAAGATGGAAAAAGCTCAAGATAATGGCAGTTTAATAAAACAAAAGTAAAGGCTGTGTGTGGAAGCAGAGTATTCTCTACTTCCCATCAGAAGGAGTTGGCCAGCCAATTCCAAGCAAAGAGAACTTCAGTAGTTATCACAGAAGACAAACATTGTAATAACAAGTGCCCCCCACCTCCTTATTTCTCTTGGATTTTATTGCTGAGCAGACATCATAATGACATGGAATATCCCTTTGGTCAGCTGGATCTGCTGTCCTGGCTCTGGCCCCTGCTGAGATCTTGCCCACCCCCAGCCCACAGGAAGGGAGGAATGTTGGAGAGACAGCATTGCTGTGGTGCCAAAACACTGGGGTGTGAGTAGCACCTTTCTGGGTACCAGCACAGCACAGCTCAGGGAGGGCTGCCATGTGGAAAAGGAGCTCCAGCTCAAACAGACCCCAGGCAACCTCTTGCCGCTGATAATTGACTTCTGTTCACAGTCTTACAAATTACAGGCAAAAATAGCAGACTCCGAGAATCTTCCAGGAAACTGAGGAAATTGTCTAACAGAAAAAGGGAAAGATAATGCCTGAATAAAATTTTATTGAAGTTCCAAATGGGTATAAGATTTCTTTCACAATGGTGGGAAAATAACTCATTGTCCTCTTTGGCTGGGAGCTGTGGGTGGAATTAGGTGTTAGCTCATCTACAGGAACACAGAGTGCACTGCAAGAATAGGTAATCGGCTGCCTACAAGAAATCAGACTGCTTTTGGGAAATGCTGGGAGAGTTAAAAGACCAGGGGCATGGTCAGCTAGGAATTAATGAACTTTGAGACACCTTTGCGAAGGCTCACCTGGGCTTCTTTAAAATTTCTGAAAGATCACCTAGGTTTCCAAGGCCAGCATAAGGAAAAAGGAACAGACTACTCAGAAATGAGAAAGGTAAAGTCCCACTTTTCTTTGAGTACAGACACAGGTCTGGGATTTGAGTTACCACAAAGGAGGCATGCACAAAAAGAAGTTGTTTGGTATTGTTAATAAGTTGAGTGATTTTATTTTTTTTCCCCATTGTGATGTGGGGAATGGTAATGACAATTTCTGAAAACATCTCAGAGAAGACAATTCTCAATGCTTGAAAAATGCTCTGCTTGCCCTCTAGACATGCTAGGTAATCCTGTAAGTAATGGGATAAAGGGAAGAACTATTGATTTTTCATTTGAGTGTCCATTCATTTGCAGTACCTGCCTTTCAAAAGACAAAATTGCACTATAAAATGAGTCCACAGCAGCCTTCCCTACACAGCCCCCCCGTACAGTGTGAGCCCTGGGTATCTCATTTGGTATTGCTTCTCAGTGGCTGCAACATCTGAAAACATGTTTCCCTCAGAAACATTTTTAGGGCCCAAATTTTGTACTGGTACCTGCAACAAATATATCTGCTTAGATATGTAGGTGAAAACTGGTTTCTCGTTTTACACAAAACTGGTTTCAACCATCTGTGTTCTTTTTTGCCTTTTTACAGCTAAGATCTCTCAGAGAGGAGCTCTCCCACTTCTTAGCCTTTCTCAGAGAGTGCACTGCAATTTTGGCACCCCAAATAACAAGACAGGGAGAGAGAGTTGTGTAATATATATCTTCTGTGTGCTCTATTAATCATAAAAATTAAATTGAGTTCTTCATGCCTTCAGCAACTTGGCAAGGGGACAGGAGGCAAGAAGACCCTTTGGAAATAAA